GTTTAAAAGATAATACCACATTTCCTTATTCTGGTGTTAATTTCCTTAAAAGCATATATATTAAACTACTAATTTACTCACATTACGTGGTTTGAAATTACAAGCAGGATTTCTAGAAAAACTTATTGTTGGAAATGTCCAAGATCATAAATAGCCAAGTAAACAATGGCTCAACAGAAATAGAGATTAATTGAAATATTTAGTCACTTTAAGAGAAAAAGAACAAAGAAATACCCAGTAAGAAAGTAGCTATGAGATTGAATTATTTCCATCATTCTCACCTTAAATGTCTCATGCTCTGTCTCTTCTGCATCATTCTAATGACAGCATTTTTCACATCTTTGTTCCTAAGACTGTAAATGAGTGGATTCAGCATGGGGATCACAATAGTATAAAATACAGAAGCCACTTGGTCTTTTCCCAAGGAGTAGGACTTACTTGGCTTTAAATAAGTGAAAATAATGGTACCATAGAAGATGGAGACTCCCAGGAGGTGGGAGGCACAGGTAGAAAAGGCTTTTTGCTTACCTGAGGTGGAACTGATTTTTAAGATAGTAGAGAGAATGGATGCATAGGACACAGAGATTGTGATAAGAGACACCATTAGGGTGGAGCCAGCAAGAATGAATACTATGATCTCAACATCATGTGTGTCAGTGCAGGACAGGGCTAAAATTGGGGTTATGTCACAGAAAAAGTGATGGATGACATTGGAGTCACAGAAATGCAGTCGGTTCACACAAAGCACATTGACAAAGGAATCAATAAAGCCAATCATGTAGGATCCAGTGATGAAGGAGCAGCAGAGTGCCATTGACATAACAACTGGGTACTGCAGAGGATTGCAAATAGCTACATAGCGATCATAGGCCATTGAAGACAGAAGTAAACATTCAGTGGCAGCTAAGAAGACAAAAAAGTACATCTGGGTAAAACATCCTCCAAAAGATATATACTTGTTGGAAGTCAGTAAGTTCTCTAAGGTTTTAGGGGTAATGACTGTTGAGTAACTGAGATCAAGGAAGGACAAATGACTGAGGAAAAAGTACATGGGGGTGTGAAGCTGGAGATCCAGGTGGATTAACAGTATCATCCTTGCATTCCCCAGCACAGTCACCAGGTAAATCAGAAGAAAGAGAATGAAGAGGACCAGTCACATCTCTTTGGAGTCCGTCAGTCCCATGAGGATGAAATCAGACACGTTTGTGTTGTTCTTTCTACCCATAGTGTCCAAGTTCTCTAAACTATAGGAGATTATAGTTGATACTTAGCATCAGTAACTTCAAACAGGTTTTTGATTATATGACTAACATAGGAGTAAAAAAAAAAAAGGTTTGTGTTTCTAGAAAGAGTGTTTTACAAAATGTAACTAAACAAAATCTTAATCTTACCATATATAAACAAATTCATGCTTTGACAGTGGAATATTATACAATACCACAATACAAATGTAACATATATTGAGTAGTTAGAATGGAACTTGTAGCATTTGTAATAGTTTCCTTTGTTAATACATTCCATTCCCATGAACATATTTCATCATAGGTGTTTCCATTCTCCACATTTTTAGATAAGAAAATGGCACAGGAGTCATTTATGCAATGTCAGAGCTGGCAAACATTGGCTCGGTGGTTCTGTCATGTTAGGGTTATTGAGATATGTTTGCTCATGAAACTTGACTCTTAATTTTATTTAATTTCCAGCCCAGGAAAAATTCTAAATGTTTAGTAAGCAATGAGATAAACATAGTTTTAATATATTGTTTACTGTCCTTTATTTTCCAGTAATTTCCAGTATTATCTAATACGACTGAAAATCAGAAAATTCAATCTCTGGGGTCTTTACTGTGGTGAACTTAACTTGACCATTCAAATCATATTTCATGATGAGTTATATTACTAGAACATGAACATTGATTTTATAGTACTGTTTCCATGAATTCTACATGTTTGTTTCCACAAATCCTGGCATTAAATAGGGTGAAAGCTCAATTTAAATAATATAAATATATATGTGAATATATATGTTCTTCTTATGGGGTCTCCGGGAGCAAGGTAAGCATGGGCAGGCCTCATAATGCTTTCAGCTTATTTGATCTGACCTAAAACAAACCACAACACTGTGCCATTGATTTGATTCTGGCTGACACCAACAGTATAGGACATAATAGAAATGCACCATTGGGTTTTTAAAACTGTTAATCTTCATGAAAACAGATTACCACATCTCTTTTTACTGGAGCAGGTGGTAGGTTCACACTGCTAACCTTCTGGTTAGCCACCTAGCACAGTAACTGCTCTGTCACCAGGACTCCTTGAGTTGACTTAAATCATTCTGTTGTTGTTGTTGTTGTTATTATGTGCCGTGGAGTCGGCCTGACTCATAGCGACCCTTCCTTGGGTTTCCGAGACAGTATCACTACAGAAGTAGATTGCCCCATCTTCCTTCGGAGGAGTGGCTGGTGGGTTTGAACCACCAGCCTTCTGGTTAGCAGGCAAATGCCTTAGGCACTATGCTACCAGAGCTCCTTAATCATTCTAGTTTTGTGAATAATACTTACCTTGGGCAAAAGATGGTGAATTTTTTTTTCTTCCCATATTACTTATCTAGAATTGGCTCAAGCTCTAATTTTTCTTCCAATAAAATGTATAAAACATTTAAAGGGATGAAAAAGTTCTATGATATAAAATTATTTTCTTTTCATATGTATCATTTTTGGATTTTGAAGCATTTTTTTTTCCTGAAATAAAATAAATAACCTCCAAATCTTGTTCAATTTCTAGTCAAATATCAAGTTCACAAGGAAAATCTTTCTCTAAAAAAATGCATGGAAGGTATTATGAACTAACCAGTAACCAGTCCTTGTCTGTCACCCTAATAATTCCAGAGCACCTCATATACTGGCAATGGCTAATAATGCAACCTTTGGTCATGCTCTGGCATGAATTTCCCAGGGAGACTGTGTTATTCTTTCTACCTGGCACATTTCCAAGCATAAGAGTTGAAGGATGGAAGGATTCACGTGAGGCTTGTAGCAGATAGTTATCTGCTCCCTTAGAAGCAACATAATGAGGAGCAGGACGGTTTGGTCTTCGGTTTGATAATCTGCTTTGCTTAGTAGGATGTGAAAGAAAATCTGTAAAGAAATACTAATTATTTTGTAATTCAAAGGCCAAGTAGTTAACTACTTCTCATAGACTAGTACATATTTTTTATACTGAATCATTTTTATATTTTAAAGTATGATACCATCATAGGAATAAAACATTTAATTAAAAAAGTGTTAGAATACAACATTGAAAGATGAAACTCTTTCCAAAGCATTGTTAGTATTTTGATATATTTCCTTCCAGTTAGTTTTCTTTGTGCTAACTTACTTATATGAGTACATATATCTATACTGTACATTCAATATCTCATTCTACTTTATCACTAAGCAATTGTAATATATTTTGATCTATTTTAGATTTAGCTTCTATAAAACACACACTTTCTCTTATTATTCATTGACTGATGCCTTGTAGTTAATTTCCTTGGGAGTTGTCATTAGCACATGAGTAGACATTGGAGGCATCTTAAGGAGCATGTTGCAGGTTTTCAATTCATTCTTGACTGTGTCACAAAATGTATCATATACCATGATGATTTACCATTTTTGTGAACTTGGTTTTTATCATACAAAAAGAGAAGTGAGAGTATAAGGAAAAAATATATACGCTGAGACTAGTAAATATTTTAAAATATTATATTTCCATTATATAATTATTATTACATTAGGAAATTATTATTCTGAATATGATCAGGCCACAAATTTTCTTATCATAGAAAATAAATTAAAACTTAAGGAAAACTGAAATATCTAAGATGAGATGAGAACTAAAATGAGATGAGAAAGTAGAGAAAATCTGAAAAAAAAATTAAACTAGGAATCACAAAAAAATATTGTTTTGAACCGTGTTGCTCATATCTAGAAAAATAATTAGTGTATATTGGCTTAAATATAATTATATTATTTTGTTATATTTTATACTTTTTGGTGGATTCTGCAAGGAAGAATACAATAATTTTATTTCTTCTCCAATTTGTATGACTTTTATTTCCTTTTTGTTTAACTTTTTGTCCTAGCTACATTAATGCATTGGGCAAATTTGCTGCAAGAAAAATCTTAAAGTGGTAAAAAGCAAAGATATCACTATGGGGACTAAGATGCACCTGACCCAAGTTATGGTATTTTTAATTGCTTTATGCACATGTGAGGTTGGACAATGAATAAAACCAAACAAAACCAAACCCAATGCTGTCAAGTTGGTTCCAACTCATAAAGACCCCTCCTTGAGTTTCTGAGAGTATATCTCTAAGGAAGTGGATTGCTTAGTCTCCCTTTCAAGGAGTGGCTGGTGGATTTGAAGCAATAGCCTTCTGGTTAGCAGTCAAATGCCTTAG